TTGTTTGACCGGTGTAGCTGCTCGTGCCCGCGAAGGTGAAGGCGGGACAGAAGCTGTCAGGGGAGGTTTTTACCAAGGCCCGTTCGGCGTGCCCTGTGTGGGGGAAAAAAATCTGTTGGCCTGTTTCCTCGACTCCCTGTTTCGGCGCAGACAGAATAAAGGTGCGTGGCATGGAGGCAGATCCCACGGCTAAACTGAAATCTTGTGGCATTCCGAAACCATAAATGTATCTGCACTTAGAAGTCATAGTTTTCTCAAAAGTTGGTGTTACAGATGGAAGAGCATCACCTGCTCTAGGTGACCCTGCTTCGGCAGGGGGGTTGGACTAGGTGATCCACAGAGGTCCCTTCCAACCCCTACTATTCTGTGATTCTGCCTGTGTGTGAATGTGCCTAGATCAAAACTGGGCCAAGCATTCAGTATTTCTAGCAATTGGCGATCAGTCTTAGAAACTTAAGTTTAACTTCAGTTAGAAAAGTGTAGGTCTGTTTGTATATTCCTGGGTTTGCACATCTTAAAATATGAGCAGGTAGGCATGAAGTGTAGGTTTCTGTGTATCAGCTGGGAAAGCTGTGTCGAGAGCTACATGCTTCAGTGCCCTTGGTGTTAGGAGAGCTGCTGAGTGCGTCAGAACCAGAATAGGAGTTTGATCTTCAGTCTTGGAGTAGAATAACATCTTTCTCAATGTTTTATGTTTCTCTTCTATCTATCTGCTAGCTATATATCCTGTCATTTTACTTGATGCATTATTTTTTTGACTTTTAAGTGGGAAGAGAGAAGAAATTCTGTAGTTGACTTTTAGATGCTCTACAGTTCTGTTCTTGGATGTCTTGTAATTTTATCTCGAGCCATTGAGTGAGTCGTAACTGCTTTTTCAGTGTTTCCTTTTCTTTAATTATAAACTGTACATCCTGTTCATTCTTCATCCATGTTCAGTCTTATGCTCAGGAAGAGTCTTATTTTATTCAGCTGTGTCAGCATTCTGTCTTTAAAGACTTGATCAATAAGAAACAAGTTCTTGATTCTTTTGATGTCTGGTGATCCCAAAACATTGAGGGTGTAAACGGAAACTTTTTTTCATCACATGTTCTCCTAACTAAGTTTTCTGATGGCATATTATATGTATTAACACTAGGTATAGGAAGCATGGGTAAATGAACTTAATTTGTTCAGAGCCCTTGAGAAAAGAATACCTGGCCCTGACAGCTAAAACACCTGGCTAGGAGGAAAAATTCTGAACAGCTGTAATACAAAAAATCTGCGTTGTTTTCAGGCTTGTCTTTGAGTGTTGGCTTATTAGTAGTGCATTCCTCGGGTACCAACAAATATGAATGGTGGCATCTTACTTGTACATTACTGGTTGTCTTATTTGTTAGATAAACGGTTATACTGGGTTTCTTCAAAGATGCAATTAAATGCTGTGGTAAAATAAATACAGATTCTGTTTGGTCTCTGCTAACTTGTTGAGAGAGAACAAATTGGCTAAAATTATTTATGTTCCCACAGGTGAAAATTAACAACTTCAAACAGTGTGAAGTTCTTTTACGTGAGACTTGCAAGGAATACCAGCCAGGTGGCCAGTATGGTGCTCATCTGGCTTGTTGGCCTCTCTGCTCTCTGTGTTGCTGTCAGTAGTTTTGTATTTTGAAACTTATCAATGATGGTAAAGAGGAAACTGAATGAGATCTTCCTTAGCAAATATAATCCATTCGCTTTTATGAAGTAAATAGTCTGCCTCTGCTTCCCCCCCTCAGATTCTGACCACGCACAGTATTACACATCTATTTTTTTTACCTTTTGAACGAAGATATCGTGTCAGATTCCACTGTCAAATACTAAGCTAGATTCATTAACGAAAAATTTGTGTTTGCAGGCTTTCTGATTACAGCTTGTGAAGAAACGTTGTTACTTACAATATGCTTAATTCCAATGTGAATCATGTTGTTAGCTTGTTACTTGCTGAAGTGAAACAGTGATCGTAGTTTTCACACTAGTCAAACACCGTCAGTATAACAGAAGCCCTTTAGAAGCTCACTTTTGCAAAGCCAGTTTCACAAAACCTTTGTACCAAACCTGCCACTTAACAGCCTGTAGTGGAATTCATTCATGGCTGCATCTGTTTTCTGCGACTTCATAGGAAGTGGGTCCTTACGAGTGATGATGTATGCTTTCGATTTTGATATATCAAGTAGGTTACAGTTAGAAGGAGCTTTGCTTTTGAGCATATCTTACAGGTATTGTGGCAGAATATGTCTTTCTAGCCTTTTATTTCTTTTATGTTAGTAATGTTTCTGATACATTTGTGTGGTGATGATGTCTTTGTTGTGAGAGGCCCAAATGCACAGTGTTATGGGAAACAATAGAACACTATGAAATTGCCATATGATGGAATGATTTAAGATCTAAGTAGGTGTTTTCTAAACCACTTGTATGATTGCCTTATCGAACAAGCTAATTGTTGAGTGACTAGGTTACACATGAGCATGTTATAGTGAAATATAAAAGGAAGAGTTACATTAAAAAAAAAAGGCAAGAAAAAAGAAACAGTGTTAAACTTAGGAGGGTGAAAGGGAACAACAAGTCTGCTCATGCGTGTAGTATCAAAAGAAAGGAGTGTAAAGAGCAATGAGAGAAGACAGGGATGTCGTGAAGGTAGTTGGTCTGCTATCAGTACGGAGAGAGAAAGAGTGGTACCGGGCCTGAATGTTGCCAAGTCAGTGGGCAGCACAAATTAGGTTTGGTTTGACTGTGGGCTTTCTGGTATTGAGATGATCCATTGTCCATTTTTAAATAAATATAAACAGAAGTCTGCAAGGTCAGCAGTTTATGCCATGTGGCTTCACAGAATCCTTGATATGGTGGTTGTTTTGGAGCCCTAATGCTCAGTTATTGTACTGAATGTCCGTCTCGGTGAACCCCAAACAACAACTGTTGTTCCCAGCTGTTCCCAGCGACAGGACAAGGGGCATCGGGCACAAACTGAAGCACAGGAAGTTTCGTCTGAATACGAGGAAGAACTTCTTCCCTCTGAGGGTGACGGAGCCCTGGAACAGGCTGCCCAGGGAGGTTCTTCATGTGTCAGACCATGGGGCTGTGTTTGCTGGTGAGAAATGTGAGCTAAGACAGATGAGGTATTGTCAGCAATTTATTAATCAGAAACAGGAGGTGCCTGAACAAGTGGGTTGGTTAGATGCACAGGGTCACTTGGACTGGACAATAGAAGTCTCATAGTTCTGGAGGAATTTTAAAATAAAGCAGTTCAGCTGACCCAGTGGTAGCATACAGGCTTACTGAAACGGACTGTTGTCATTTCAGATGCAGGAAAATGACTGAAAAGCCTTCCTGCAAATAGGGCTGAAGTGTCTAAATGAATCTGATACTTTGGAGGCTAACTGTGTAGTTTCTGAACTGAACTGCAGAGTCAGGCTGTCTTTTTACACAGAACCTTAAAAAATTCTGCTGAGGAGTCACAGTAGTGGAGGAGTAAGAGCTAAAATACTCTTCTAGAATGAGGAAATGGTAAAAAAAGAGAAATCTTAAAACAGGAGTGAATAGTAATAAGGGTAATTGAAGAGGCAGGACACAAATCTCCCGAGTACGTACCTTGATTGCTAGCTGTTGCTGTAGAAATAGTACTACGTGCAGTTAGATGAAGCTAATGTGGGTGTGCCTAGTTGGACTGTAATGCCAGCTTTGCTTTGTTTTGATATACCTTATTGTTAAGACAAGTATTTGCACTTAGGAAGGATCGTGACCTTGGATGTTGAGGGCTGCGATGGTCACAGTGTCATGTTGCCTTGGATAGTGACAGATGTTCTGGCATTGATCTTTGCGTTGTGAAGTAAGGCCAGTAGGTTGTGAATTTAGCTTCTTGGCTGATGGTATGTTAACTGTTATAACTTCTTATGGAATCTCTGAAGAGAATTTAGTCCAGTGCTTTTTTTAGTGCAGTGTTTTCCAATCTGTCTTTGATTTCTGGGCCTTTAAGCATTTTCTGATGAGAGTATGGATGCCTGTGTAGTAAATGTAAGCCTGTTGACAATGGTGATTAGTTATCTATGCGAACATTTCAGGCTCCAAGTTAATCTGTTAGTAGAGTACTGTAACCATGCACAGGGTATGGGATGTAGCCACTGCTCTTGTGCTTCTGGATTTGCCTGCAGTTGAACTTTGCCGTATTCTTGTCACCTGATGATTTTCATTATGCAAAGTGGTCTCTCTCTGTTCTAGAGCATAGTGTTTTAGAAAGAGAGGCAGTCTTTCAGTAATTTAAGGTGGATCTCATGGGAAGCTTTCCATGTCATGGCAGAGACTTCAAAGAGTTACAGTTAGTTGCAGAGTGTTGCTTGGCAGTGTTGCGTTCAGTGACTTGTGCTGCGTTGTGTATCAGTCCTAGCATTTTATATTATAGGCTTTATAGACTTGAATTTTAAGAATAACATAAGTTTATTAATAGATGCTCATGATATTTGTTAGATTTTTGTGAATTTCCGATCTGTACATGGAGAGGGGACACATTTTTGCCATTGTCATTTAAGTAGCATTTAATGAACTAAATTCAGAGTAAATACAGTTTTGTTGCAACTCTGAACTTGCCTTTTAGGGGAGGGAAAGGGTTTATTAATAGCTTTATAATAAAATATTTCATACAAGCAAATTGAGTAATTTGTGATATATATGAAGAAACTGTTAGGTTTTCTTCTCTCGTCCTTTATTTAACCTGTGAAATAGGAAGAATACTGCATCTGGTTTGCCTGATCTTTCTGGGGAGTGTGTCTTGGAAGCAGTGTGGAGGGAAGAAGGTTTCTCAGGATGTTTAGTAAAAGCTGTAACTGAGTAGTTTAAGCAGATTTATATTTCTCATTAAAACCTGCTGTTTCCTGATAGGTGCCAATACAAAACAAACAAAACCCACCCCAAAACCTTAATTATTTTGTTCCATAACATGTTGGCTGCAGTTTCCCACCTTTATGCTTTCCTGTCAAGTACCAGGGAGAGTGTGTCTTAAATACTGACCTTATCTGCATGGCAATTCTTACTCTGCTGCAGTTTAAGATTGTCCTTTTCCACAATAGGCTCAATCATTGATTGTGTTTAATTTAGGGAGAAATCATTTGAGTCTGTTCAGCATGGCAAAGGTTGCCTCTCTCCAGAGTAAGGAGACTGTCAGCCATGATCTTTGGGCCAGGAGAATGTGATTAAATTTTGAGCAAACTAAAGAAAACGTTACTCTCTTTCTACAGGTGAAGTTCTAAAAAACTTAAATAAGTTCTACAAAAGAAAAGAAATCCAAAGACTAGGAGCAGAAAATGGATTAGATGGTAAGAAAATGTTGTAAGTTTTTTTTTTTGTTTTTTAATATGAAATCTGTTTCTATTCAGATGTGGTATTAGGTAGATCTGATTGATTGACAGGTTGTCTCTGTCACTCGGTTCAAATAACCTTTATATTTACTTGTAATATCCCATATTAAGGTATAGGTTTCTTAATGGACTACTTCAGTGTTTTGCTGTGTGTTTACAAATATGGTTTTGTGATTCCAGTCACATTCACTTTGTTCCTTTATTTTATAGCTCGCCTGTTTCACCAAGCGTTTATAAGCTTTAGGAAGTATATCATGGAATCCAGTTCTGTGAGTGCTGATTTGCATATTATTCTCAATGATATATGCTGCGGTGCAGGCAAGTATCTGGAGTGCTTGTAAAATAAAATACACATTTTTTTCTTGTTTTTGACTTGTATGCTTAGCTACATACATGTGGACCCCCCTACTATGCTGTAAAAGAGGTTAAAAATCACCACTTCCCTGTCAGAGATATTTATGCCCATCCTATGGATTGTTCTGTCCTTAAATCTTCCTAAGTGGAAACAAAAGAGGTGGATGTCTTAGCAAGAAGCAGTCGATTGTATAGTGTCTGTTCATTGCTGAAGTGAAAACAGTACTGTTCCATTTATTCCTCTCTTGAAAATTCCGTCGTCGCTAGGGGGCACTTTGAGAGCTTTCTCCTGGCCAGGTGGCTTTTGAGTCACAGAGCTGCATTCCCAAGCACTGCTCTGTTTCCTTGTGGCGCTAATAGAAGTGAGTGTTGTTTGCTTGCTTAGTGCTTTGTGTGTTGTAATCAACGGCACTTAACTAAGAGGTGATGCTAGCTGGTAGTGGCAGAAACAGCCTTCTCCACAGTTCGAGCTGCAGAACTTTGGCATAGTGTTAAGGATGGTAATTAAAAGGCTGTAATGGCCATTAGTTTTGTCTTGAAATGTAAATGTGTAGATTTTAAATGTTTGCCATCTTAGGAAATTTAAAATGTCTTTTTATAGTAGTTGTGCATAAAATCTTCCACATATATCCTCTCCTTATTCCACTCCTTTATACTTATATGTGAGAATTGTTTATGTATGCCTTAAAAGTCACGTATACAGGAGTGTAAAGGGTTGTTTATTCTGGCAGTTTTGAAGGTTTTTAGTTGAGTTTTGCTTGTCAAAAGAATGATAATTGAAAATACTACAGTTTTTAAAGTCTTTAATTTTTTCATAATAATTTTGATTTGTTGAGTACTAATTCTCAATTTAAAACAACAACAAACAAAACACTGCTCTTTTTTGTATGTGTGTATGGTTGGTAATAACAGGTTTTTTTGATCCAGATAGTTGTTTGAAATTCTATGAGAGCTGGACAATTGGAGTGTGACCTAAAATGAGACCTTTAAGGCCATGTGTCTACTCTGCAAGCATTCAGAAGAGTGAACCTGGATGTCTCCTCCGAGTTGATTTTTCTGTTTTTGCTTTCTCACCTAAGAATTGGAGACTCACAATTTTGAACCAGCTTCCCAGGTCTTAGTAGCTTAGGGAAGCTGCAAAGTATTCTGTTTTTCTCTGTTTATTCACAAAAGTATTTTAGAACCTATGACTTTATTTTATTCCAAGGCAGGAAGAAAAAGCTAAAATCTTCTTAGGACAGAAAAGCTGTTTCTCATCCAGCTTTTCCTTAGCTTCTCATTTTATTTAGAAGTTCTCTACACATGTAGGCTAACCAGATTGCATATACTGAAATGAGATTTTTTTTTTTATACTATTGTATTTGTATTACAGTTGCTTAATGAATCTGTGTACTCATGTTAGTGTACCTTTCTGCAATTGACATAATTATTGAACTGTGTAGAGAGCCAGAAGCTGAAAGAATTAATCAAAGTGTGTGGTAGAAGTAATAGACCTTTTTTTAAAAGTTTGTTATGAAGATACAGACCTTCAGACAAGCATGCAAATTTTCTTAAAATGATTTGACTTCCAGGTCATGTGGATGATCTCTTTCCATTTTTCTTGAGGCATGCAAAGCAGATCTTTCCAATGCTGGACTGTATGGATGATTTGCGCAAGATCAGTGATTTAAGATTGCCGCCCAACTGGTCAGTGTGTTTAAGTGGTGTTGCAGTGTTTTCTTTTCTTAGTGTCGTAGAATTTCACAGTCTGTGGTCTTAAGCTTTATGATGTAGAATTGCACTGTATTTTCATTTCCATCTCTGTTTTTTACAATAGTTTGTGTCAAGAACTGCTATCTTTGTTACAAGATATGTTGCAATCAGTTAAAGGAAATTAAGATTATATGAGCTATGAAAGCTGCTGAGTTGGTATTGTCTTTCCAGAAAGCTGCCTTTGGGCTCTATCTGTTTGGGAGGTAGCACACCAGAATGTTAAAATGTTAATATACCCAAGGAGAAAGACCACAGTAATGAGAATTATTTTGAACACAGTGTGTGAATTCCACTCTAAATCTCTGAAAGAGTTGTATGATTTAGAGGATGAATGTATAAGACACAGTAACCTTGTTATACTGTCTCTAATTAAGAACTTGATCTTTCTGCTTTCAACATACATTAAAAAGTCTATTAATAAAGTAAATGTTTAAGCTAATTTGCAGTTTCCCCTGAATCAGTATATGGAGCACCAGACACATGTTCAACAGATCTGCTTTTTTTGTGTATGTTGTAGGTATCCCGATGCCAGGGCTATTCAGAGAAAGATAATATTCCATGCTGGTCCTACAAACAGTGGAAAAACTTACCATGCTATCCAGAGATTTTTGTCAGCAAAATCTGGAATATACTGTGGTCCACTAAAACTTCTGGCTCATGAGATCTTCCAAAAGAGTAATGATGCTGTCAGTATGTTGTATTACTTACCCTACATCCTTAGTACTGGGACAGTCTCATGAATGCATGTTTGTAATTGCTTAAGGTACTTTGTGAAGCAGGGTGCTTCAATGGGTGCCTTTGCTTTGCAGTAGTGTCAGCTCATGTGAATACCAGTTGTGCATTTCTGCTTTAGGCGTGCGGAACTGCATTTCCCCAAATGGAACGTCACTTTCCCCAAAGCACATGCCATGCAATCATCCCTGTAACCTGCCTCCATTTTCTTGTTACTTTGCCCTCCCTGGGTTTAGCCAGGCTATACATACTGTTAGCTTTTTCAGTGTGGAAACTGTGACTTCTTGTGCCCATGACCTTTATTTTAGCTTATATGCAAGGAATTACCCTTGCTTAACTCCCCCTAAGCCTTCTGCTTCAAAGTTTCAATGTATTTCACTCAACTATTTAACAAAAAGTTCAGCAGCTTCAGATGGTTGAGTTGAAGAGCAGTGTCCTGTATCAGGTCCCTAGAGGAAGCTTTCATTAGTACGTTTTTTTCATTGCTTCCAGCATCTTTTTGAAGGTTCCTCACACCAGTTCCGGAGTATTACAATAACACAGCAGCATAGTGTGTATGTACAGTAGTGTTTACCAAATGATCTTGTGGTTTCTCTTTTTTTGATAAGTCTATGATTTAGAATTTGTAATTCCTATTATTGGTTTATCAAAGCAACACATAAGAAAGGTTGGCTTGCCCTAGAAGATACCTGTAACATGTACCGCGTAGTGAATGTGGATACCATGTAGTGATGTTCCTTGTTAGTAGAGTTACTGCACTTTTTTTCCCCATGTGTTTCTCTAAGTCTGTGAGGACTTTTAACTTGGCAGATCATGCATCATACGTAGCCTGTGAGGCTTAAATGGCGCTTCCTGCATGCCTCTACAGGTGGCTGTAGATATGGAAGGAGCAGCCATCTGCCTGAGATTCAGCAAGTGTAGAGCTGACAGGGGAATGTGGCCCCTGCTGTCTCTCACAGCTAGTCCGCATGAGCTCTTGCTGGGTGAGTGCAAGGCAGCAGATGAGACACCCAACAGGGCAATCACCAGATGAACTGGAGGAGGCTGGAGCTTGCAAGGCTCCTTCAGTGCTGGGCCTTGCTTTATAAGCCCCTTGTACTACAGTTCTTCTGACAGTTCTTTTGTTGCAGATGTGACAGCTCTAAAATGCTCAGAGGAAGATGTAATCTCCTGCAGGAGCAGGGGAGGGCATCTAATTACAGATACTCCCTCTTCATTGTACCCTTCAGCCTGATAGGACTTAAATACAGGGCATGAGTCTCAAAAGGCTGAGTAGTTATTTTCTGGATAGCTTCCATTATATTGTCTTAGAAGCTACTTTAAGAAATTATTTTTCTTCCCCTTTGGCAAGAGGATTCTGTTATATTAAAGAAACTTAACATGAGTTTTCTGAATTCCTTTAGAATGTGCCATGTGACTTGGTAACAGGAGAAGAGCGTGTGTATGCCAATGAAGATGCCAGACAAGCTCCTCATATTGCTTGTACCATTGAAATGTGCAGCACTAATACGCCTTGTATGTATACGTAATTGTTTCGGTCATATCTATGGTATCTTAATGTATATTATTGCTTGGACTCTGAAGTAGCTGAGCTGTTCCTTTTCACTCTTACTTGAACAATTTCTGAACTATGTTAGAGCAGTTAATAAAACCTGCATCATCTCAGAATAGCTTTTTGGTGGTAGAGGATTAACTTCATTTGAGTAGGCTTTTTCAGAAAGCCTTAGAATTTCTTCCTGTGTTGTATTGCTGCTCTAGATTCTCTTCCTTGGTGCATCATATTTTTGTTTTTGGTTTTAAGATGAAGTTGCTGTGATTGATGAAATTCAGATGATCAGAGATCCTGCCAGAGGATGGGCTTGGACAAGAGCCCTTCTAGGTAAGCTTGTTTGTGTTGACAATGAACTAGTTTAATGTGACGATAAATGGCACATTAAATTCAAGCTTAGCAGTCAGTATATTCATAAGTGGTTACAATACGTGATGCAAAATAAAAGCGAGTATTGTTTCTTCATATATTCTCACAGCAAGTCAGAGCGATACTCTGCCTCAAAGGGTTTGTCTGTATGGCAGCAAGTTACCTGTCATGCTTTACTTAATGAATGTTTTTTAAAATTTTTATTCTCTAAGTTATACAGGTGCCTCTTTTGCTTCCTTTGATAATACAGAGTATTTGTGTTGTTACACCATGCTGTCCTTTTACATTGATTGTTTCCTAGAAGTATGCTTTTTTATATAATGAACACAATTTTTCAGAGGTTTTGTTATGAAGAAATACTGTTAGATGTATGGCAACATGTTGAACATTAAGTATTGTATAGTGTTCATTTCAAATGGCTCATTTATAGAGCTGCATTGATCTGTTAAATTCGTAGAAAAATGCTTCTTCTGATAATTCTAGAATTTTTCAAGAAGCATTTTTGAAACTCATTTTTCCTCAGATTTTGACCAGAATTTTGGAATCTTATATATCCCCCACCCCTTCCCTTCACTGCCCTTGATGCTAATTTTAACAGGATGATTTGTCATACTTCCCCTACCTCCTGGTTTTTTTCCCTTTTTCTGTTCTGACTGCATTAGAGATGTATTCATAATTTTAGAAGTTCATGCAGAAAGCAAAGCTCTTCAGTTCTGCTATGGTTAGGGGATTAGTAAAACATTAGTAGTAAATAAAACATACTCAAGGGTACCTCTTGTTTTGGCTGAGAGGGTGCAACAAAGTATTAGCTGCTCTGGTTATCATACTAATGGATTTCCAAACATCACTTGCTGATATGAGATCAAGAGCAGCTCTAAGGAAGTAGTGTGTTGTGGGAGAGGCTTTAGGTACTGATTTGGGATGTTGAAGGAGGTGAAATACAGTCCTAATTGATGTGTTTAGCAATCAAAATGTAATTTTTAGGCAACTTAAAAGTCAGCTAAAGCTAAGGTTGTCTATAAATACGCAACATTTTGCATTTTGTTTCATTGGATCTTGTTCAGGACTCTGTGCGGAAGAAATCCATGTGTGCGGAGAAGCTGCTGCTATTGACTTGGTGACGGAGCTCATGTACACTACAGGGGAGGAAGTTGAAGTAAGTTTTTTAATTCTATAAAGTTACGGACAGAACACCAGGTTCTACTTGCTGGAAAACAGGAAGAAATTTAGGGTCTTTTAGGAGTATCACTGATCGAAGTTATTCTTGCAGGAGTTTGTGTTAAAATGTTTCTTAACTCCTATAAACCGAAGAAGATGTTGCAAAGCTGTTTTGTTTTTGTTTTTTTTAATAGTGGTATTGTTTTGCTTAAAGATGATAAGTGCTCTGCTGAGTTCTCCTTAGGGAATGCTACAGTTGTTTAGGTGCTTTGTTTATAATTCTGTTTGTCCTGGAGGGCGCAGTGCCCTCAAGTTTGCTGAGGTTACTGGATCTATTGATAGTTATTCTCCGTATGATGAGGAAAAGAGTTAAAAGAGCCAACACCTCCAGAAGAAAGTGATCGAAAGATCTCTGAAAGCCAACTTCACTGTCATAAGTATTTTTTTTTCCTTGGGAAGATTCCTTTGTGAAGAGTATTTAAAAACATAAAATTTGGTCCTAAGAATGTCCAGTCTGCATAATTTCCTGGTGAATTAGCTGTAGCTTTGTATATATATGTGCATGGTGGGGCATGTAATTCTGAAAGGGGAACGAGTTACAGCATTCAGATGATGGAGTGAAAACAGACACTCATTTCTTGGTAGAATTGCTATGTAGCCTGTATACTTCTTTTCTTGAATCTAGCTCATATGTAAAAATACAAAGTTCTTCTGTTTCTTGAAGAGGCCATATAGTTCTCAGCTTGGGAAGTCCTGCAAGTATGCAAGTGCATAAGGTGTATGTCACCTTCTCCCCAGTAATTATCCCTTCAGGACTGCGAGAGGTCCCTCAGTGTTACGAACAATTGTGATAATAATCATGCTGGCTGATATTCCACAGAAATTTTTTCATTTAAAAACATACTGTCTTTGATGACAACTTTGATTCTAGGTCCGAAACTACAAGAGGCTCACTCCTCTTACTGTGCTGGATTATGCCTTAGAATCTTTAGATAACCTCCGTCCTGGGGACTGCGTTGTCTGTTTCAGTAAGAATGACATTTATTCTGTCAGTCGACAAATTGAAGCCAGAGGATTAGAATGTGCTGTCATATATGGCAGTCTGCCACCAGGTAAAGCACTCTTCCTTTTATTTTTAAGGGAAAGCTTCTTGCTGCTTTCTTAGAAAAACTTTTAAAATGAAGCAGTACAAGTTTTCGTAGTTTTGCGTCTCTCTCTAGTTAGAGAAAGTAATTAACTTTGGTTGACTGGTGTTTTGCTCTTGGGATTAGACCTTCATTATGTACTTAATATTAATCTTTAGATAGATGTAATTAAATGAGGCCTATCCACAGCTTCAAGAGTTATTTAAATCCCTCCTGCCTCTTTCCCCCAACAACAGCCAAATATCAGTCAAATACCTTTTTTTTTTCTCAGCCTATTATAAAGGCATCAGGCTTAGTCATACATTGTTTTGTAAGAAGAGTTTGCTATGGGAAGTGTTTTGTCATTCTGTTTTAGGAACAAAACTTGAACAGGCAAAGAAATTCAATGATCCTGATGATCCATGCAAAATTTTAGTTGCTACAGATGCGATTGGAATGGGACTCAATTTGTAAGTACTTGGAGCAAGTTATGGTACGATAAATTTCATTTATTTATTTATTTATTTATTTATTTATTTTCAGGTACGATACAGCATTGATTTCCATGCTTGTTTCTCCCCACTGTGGCTAATTTGACTAGATAGCTGCTATGTCCAGATAGCACAGTACATACATGTTAATTCGGAAGTAGTGGTCAATTTGATTGGGTAGAACTAAGCTTTAGTTTTAGAAGTGATTCTAAGAATTAAATGGCTCACTTGGCCTAATTCTGTGTGATAGTAGGCACTGTTAAGGTCCTTTCAGTTTGCTGGAGTCAGATGTGCTAGGTTGCCAGAGTATCAGTCTCTTGCATTTCTGAAATTTAGAGTAAATTCAGTCTGTTTCAGGTGTATTTTGTTGCTGAAGGCGATGCAGTCGCGTTGCTAGAAACTACTGAGGCAGATGATGATGAATGGATAAGGGCCCTATTAGAACACAGTTGATGTGTGTAGGGATGATAATTCTCCTGCAACTAACCAGTAGTCTTATGCTGCCCTCTTGAATATACTGTGTCCGTAAGTAGCATCTGTGGTCTCTTAATTTATACAGGGGAAAAAAGCTAAAAAAAACCCCAAAAACCAACAAACCCAAAACTTTCATTCTTCTGTGGTAGGTTGTGTATTGGAAATAATGTGCACAAAAGGATTCCTCTTTGTTTTTGTTCAAATATTTCAGGTGTATAAAAAGAATAATTTTTAACTCTATAGTAAAGCCAACTATCAATGAGAAGGGAGAGAAGGAAATAGACTCCATCACAACTTCTCAGGCTCTACAAATCGCAGGCAGAGCTGGGCGTTATGGCTCATCCTTCAAACAAGGAGAAGTCACTACAATGCATCGTGATGACCTTGTGCAGCTGAAGGAAATTTTGAATGAGCCTGTGCGCCCTGTGAAGGTGAGAGGCTCAGTATGGAGTTTGTACAGATGTGATTTGGAGCTGTTTTACTGTATTCTGATCACAGATTATTTTTCCTTGTGTCTGTTCACAAGTTAGTAATAAAAATGGATTGTGTCACCCAGGAGTGAGTTTGAATATACGTTCCTTTTGGAGGCTTGCAATGTTTCTTTTATATTGAAGCTAGTCTTTTAAGAATTAAAAGCTCAAACACAAAAGTTCTTAAGTTCCAGATAAGTGTGCTGAGTAAACTGGACTCTGTAGGGTGCATTGGTTTCTTGCATTTTGTCTTTCTAGATTTTGTTTCTGATGCACTAACTTCAGAACAATATTGAGAATTAATGGAAATTTTTTTCTTTGTCTTCCCTTTAGGCAGCTGGCCTACATCCTACTCCTGAGCAGATAGAAATGTTTGCTTATCATCTCCCTGATGCCACTTTATCCAACCTTATTGTAAGAATGATCAAAATACCAGCTTCTGCTTTAAAAATTAAGCATTACTTACAATCACTGCTTTTGTACAAATATGCACTTTGGGAATGTAACAGCCAGCCTTGTGTGTATCTTTTATCAGGTGGATTCTTCTCTCTACCACAGCAGTGACTGCAAATACACTTAGAATGCTTAACCTTTCTATGTTATAATAAACTTGAAAGCTGTTGAAGTGTATAAATATGTTTACACGTGTTGAAGGGTGTGCAACAACATTTTCATTTCACCTTTCCAGTATTTTAAATGTAGACTTTTTGGTCTGAGGCTGAAAATATTAGAAATTGAAATTTTGATAAACTTACTTGAAAATTCCTGGGAAACTGAGCTGGTCATGTCAGATTTCTGTACATCTGAGAGCTACCTGATTATTTTTTCCTGATTCTGTAGACTTTATGGTGAAACAGTGTCTGCTTAACTGTGAGAAAACAGATTTTGTGGGATCTACTTGATTTCATCGTTAGCATATTTCATGGATAGTAGAATTTTTAGAAGTATCTAAACCTGTTAAAGTAGAAATTAAGCTCCCAGTGCTGTGTTTAAAAAATAGTGTTACAGTTTTTAGTACACTGAGAAATTCTTAGCAGCTTTCATGGATGTAAATATGTATTATTGTTCTCTGCTGATGTGCTGTCGTGTAGCAAAGTGTATGATTTCTAACTTCAAGGTAGAAGATTATACTTGGAGACCTCTTGGAAGACTTAGGCTGGTAGGGTAACAGCACATCTTTAAAATTTTACTATTGAGAATTTCTGGGGTAGCATAGAAGTATTAAGATAAAGAAAACCCATGTTATTGATCTCTTAAATATTCAGTCACATATTTAATTAAGAAGCTGAGTGTTTCTTTGAAGATCTTTTTAAAAATCTTTCAAAGATTTACACTGGAGAGATAATTTTGGGGGCCCATAAAAATTCCCACTGCAAAGTGCAGTGGCATCTGCTGTTTTTCCAAACCTTGAATATATTTCAGGTATTCTTTGAACTCCTCTGTTGCAATGCCGTATTTCTCTTGTGATTTCTTTCTTCCTAAAATAGGTCTGTTGCTGACATTGGGTTAAAAATACCTCAGTTACTGAATTTTACGCTGTAAAATTACCTTTTTGGGTCATGCTAAGTGACAAACCTAGAACAAGTTCTAAACAGTAGTAACTGGTTCCTGTGATGGGGTTCGTTGTAACTAAAATGTATACTTCCATAACACTGTTACTTAAGCATTTTCAACTAGTGCCCTAAGTAAAGCATAGTGTGTTATGTCTTCTCTTCTGATGCTGTGTTAAAGAATTTAATGAAAATCCTGTTAAAAAAATAGAGGGAATGCCCTTGCCCTCTTTTATATTACTGTGGTCATATTTGGTATGTTTAACTGTTCTTTCAGTATAACTAGCTTTGAAACACTAAATAATTTTTTGGTTTGGTAATACAAAGTTTAACAACCCTCTCCTGTAATAACATCCTCTTCATTTGGTTATATTTTCACAGGATATTTTTGTGAGTCTGTCACAAGTCGATGGGCTTTACTTTGTCTGCAATATTGATGACTTTAAATTTCTAGCAGATATGATTCAGCACATTCCACTAAATTTGCGATCACGATATGTCTTCTGCACTGCACCCTTGAACAGAAAAGAGCCTTTTGTGTGTACCACATTGTTGAAGGTCAGTTATTTTTTTTTCCTTCAAAAAATATAGCATTTATATTGGAGCAAGCGAGTCTTGGTGCACTGAGACTGTATCTAGCTGCTATATTGCAGGTTTTGGCATTAGATCATCTGAGAGCATTCTTAAAGTGCTCATAGGTAGTAACATAAAATAGCTGGAGAGAGATAAATATATATATATTTTTTTTTAATAAATTACATTCTTCAGCATTTTTATTGGCCAGAGCTTTTGACTTCTGAAGAGTGGTTCTTATTTTGTGATGTAAATTAAAATTTGGACAGCTTTTCTGCTGTTTATCTAAGAGAATCCTACTGCTTGCCTTGCAGGTGATCTTTGAATTGGGAGAGATCAGGATTGTGTTACATAGTCACTTGTGCACTGTTCAGCTTTGCGCTATGGTGTGTCTAAAAGTAGTCTTTAAAAATCAAGATACTGCTGCTTCAAGGTGTCAGCTTGTCAACAAAAGAAAAGAATGTGGGATTAAGTGTGACTGCTGATGTTATAATACAGTTGCGTAGAATTAAAACCCCAGAAAATACAGTGCTGTAAGTTGCCCTGAGAATTACATCATTTCACTTTTCAGGCCTGTGTGAACTGTTTTCCACTGTGCCCCCTGAGTGTTTATTTTGAGGAATTTGTAGTCAGCTGATTTCAGTTTTTCGGGATTAATAACTTTGGGACTGTTACTTTGTTAGACAATGTCACTTTTGTCCCCTCAGAGACTGTATTAGACATTTTTAATAAAATAGTGTGAAAATTAAACTAATGTGGTGCCTTCAGGTCAGATATTAGACCCATACTTTTCAAAGATGGCTAATAACGTTCTTTAAAAGTTGAGTGAGTGATTTAAAGAGTTGAAAAAAAATGTGCCTCATTAAGAAAATGCTGAGCATTCGGATCCCAAGTAATGCAGGTGCAGAAGGGGCATATTGTGATGTTGGAGAGAGGTAGGCTGTTGTGAGTGCCTGTGTGAATTTAAGCCCCATTCCTTGTCAAAAAAAAAGAACTTCTGCTATCAGCCACTTAGGAAGCAGTTATTCCAAGTCACCAGCACTCCTGAAAATTTTAGATTTAAACCTTATTTGGCTTGTTTATCTCTTAGTAAAAAAGCTGAGATGTCTGGGTTTCAGAAGTGCTGATTCTAGTGCAGATTAATCTGTTTGGGTTGTGAATAGTGTGTTTCCTAAGTCGGGAACACATTTAACACTTTCTTGACCTTGGAAATTTTGAAACAAGATAATTAACAGAATAGGAGCATCAGAAGAAAAAAAGACAAAGTCCATCTGCTTTGCTATACGAAATAGTATTCCTTCAGTGTTATTCTTTTCTGGATACCTCTGATGTTTGGTGCTTAACTGTGCGTGGCCCATGGACAAATTGTGTTAATGAGGCCCTGGAAAGGAGAGAGGACTCCTGTGTTGAGTTATTAAGTAAAGGAATGTGTGGCATTTGGGCTGTGTAAAACAAAGCAGGTATTTTCTGAAGTACTCTGTGTATACAGACTCAAAGGAATTTTAACTCCTTTAGGATTTCTTCTTTCCTGACTGAGGACTTCTCTGAATCTGCTTGTTTTTCAGTTTGCAAGACAGTTCAGTAGAAATGAGCCTCTGACGTTTGACTGGCTCTGTCGGCACACCAAATGGCCGTTAGCCGCTCCAAAGAACATCAAAGAACTAGTACACCTTGAAGCTGTTCATGATGTGTTTGACCTCTATCTGTGGTTAAGGTATTGTCTTTGTGCTTGAAAGTTGTTTTTATTTTTTCCTGATATGTATGACTTACAGTCCTAGAAAAGCAGTGTCTTAAAGCCCATGTGTATGTGGTGCAGTATGGGCTCCTTTGGCTCTTGAGAGGATCTTGACAAGTGTAAATGTAGCTATGTTGTGGGAGCAAGTTGTGGGTTCGCCAGAGAACAGTTTATGACTGACAGATGAAGTTAGAAAACAGGTGATGCTGGACTGGAGCAGCTGAAATGCCACTTAAAATACAGTGGCCTTCCAATGCAACACGTAATAAATTTTTTTTTTTTTACTTTACACAGTATGTATCTCATTTTTTGTCCAAGTCAGCAGTTCTTTCGTGAAAAGGTTTAATTGTGTGTTGTTTTGCCTCTCTTCAGTTACCGCTTCATGGATATGTTCCCTGATGCTGTCCTTGTAAGGGATATCCAGAAAAAACTAGACGACATTATACAAGTTGGCGTCTGCAACATCACGAAGCTGATCCGAGCTTCACAATCTGTAGCTGCTCCTGGCACAGCAGAAATTGTGTCAGAAGACTTTCCTCTTTCAAGGACTAAGAGGGATACCAGGGCGGTTTCAGACCGTCATGGTGCAAAATCCACAGAGGCACTCTCTGTTGCAGTGGACGTTCTGGGAGAAAGACGAGCAAAGAACTTGAGAGCTTACCGGTCTGCTACAAGGCAGGAGGATCTGAAAAGCCGTGGACGTGGATCTCTTGCCAACAGATTGCTGCGTGAAGGACTTCTAACACAAGAAATGCTGAGACAGCTGGAGAGTGAGTGGCAGGATCAGCACAGGAATGGTAGATATGGCCTTGGTTCAAAAAGAGATGATCAGAGCAGTTCAAAGGAAATGGGGAAAAAGAAAAAGTAGAACCATGTCCGAATTATGTTCAGTTTTTATTCATAAAATAAAATACTATTTTAATAAATTCTTTGGCATTTCATGTTTACACTGCTGCAGCTCTTTAATGTTTTTCCTTCTCCTGTGACCAGCTGAAGCACTCAGAGAAATGGACTCTTAAAATCTCAGAGGCCAGAAGTTTGCTTTTACCGGTCAGCTGTATGCTTTTTCAGTCACAGTGTTCATCACAAGTGTATGATCTGCTGCTGTGTGAAAACTTGAACTTGATGTCTTCTTGCAAGGTAGCCTCACATTGTTAATAAACATCAGATATTTCACTAGTAATGAATTAGCTACTCATTCCAACCCTCCCCAAAGGGCAGAGTTTAACAGATAACGAACAAGTAATGAACAACCTGGCAGCAAATCAGGTCAGAATGGTGATAGGAGTCATGCGCCTCTAACCTCTGCATGGTGTTAAAATGTGGAAGTAGGTGAAAAGCATTTGTGTTAATGCATTAGGGAATGATGAAATTCTGGCCACAGGAATTCTTGAGTAAATTCCAATTCTGTCATCTGTAGGGATAATTACTGAAACAAAGCAAAATCTGTCCTTGCTTTTTAAATTGTATTCTTTCTCATAGGAAAAGCTCATCACACTGATTCAGGCAAAGTTGGGGGAGGAGGGTGAAAAAAAGTTGGATTATGACTTTTGAGGGTAAGGAGTAGATGTTAGGGGCATAGGTGTAATTTATTTACTTCTGAGAAATTCAGGTGTCTGTGTCTCCTTCACTTGTCTAATTCAGTTTCATACAAATTATTTTGTTCTGTTGCACTTCATAAATGTGTTTTTGCTTCATATGCCAGTTTGTTTGTGATATCTGAGTTTTGAGATGAGGCATAAAATATTTTGTTTAAGCTTACATAGCTTATAGTTTAAGTAACAGCTTGCGGGTTGATATTTGTGCCAGTAGCATTTCTACATACCTGTTTTATTGTGGCTATCATAAACTGGAAAAGTTAGGTGCTCACACATGAAGGAAGGTTTAAATTGTTGGAACTAAATTCTTGGGAAAAGGACTTTTTTTTTTCATGATGCAGTGTCACTGAATAAGGTTTAAGGCAATGCACTGCCAGGCTATGCCTCTTGCGTACACGTGCAAAGGCTCTGTCATTTGTTTTCAGTGTGAGTGGCTTCAAGGTATGCTTTTGACCTTCCAGTAGGGATACTGGAGAGTGGAAAGAATCAGATGCTGAAACTGCTGTGTGTTCACAGAAATGGGTTTCAGCGCTAGGACATGTTGGTGGGCCTGCCTGAGGAGAATAATGCTGCAGCAACCATACTTCTGGTGTTGGCTATATACAGGTCTGCAGATCCTGCTTGTATTAATGTTGGGATACTTGTAAACACCAGGTTGAATTACACTGTCTCAAATACCTGACTTCCTAAAATGAGCAACCACATATTTCTGCAGGTTGAAAGTTTGCGCTGAATCCTCTTTGCTTCCTACTAGTATCAATCCATTAAGGAGCTGTGCAGAAACAAGTCTGTGGCAGTTTGAATAATGTTTTTAACAGCTGTTTTCAGTGTATTTCATGTACTCTTCCCCATTATTTACTAAAAAGCAAGCAGTGCGTGAATATTTCTAGTCCACATGATCTCCTGCTGATTTCAGTACCAGACTGGTGGGGAGGGAAAGTTTTAGGTCCTTCCTCTGCAAAGCCCCGTGTTTCTTTCCTTCCCCAAGAAAAACCAGGCAGCTATGTGTGGCAATGGCCATGTGAATGTTGTGAATTTTCTGCTTTGCGGATGAGTAATTCTGCTTTGCTTTCCCGGAGTCCTGGCAGCCTCTGCTTAACAGCAAGATGACTTGCACAGAATGTGAGCTTGCAATTAACCCTTACAAATGTATTCCTTTTGATACTATTCAAAAAGCTTATGTGATGTGGATTGCGTGATTGAGCAGTATCAGTTGCCACCTTGTGTCCTTTGCACTTGACAGACTTGAAGGGAAGTTGTAGTTGCCCAAGCCTGCAGATGGGTTATGACAGCATGCATTTTCCCACTTCCCTCTTGGACTGCAAACTCCTTACTGAATTTGCAAACCACTGTTTAAAACCACACTTGGGCAAGGATGACTCCTCTGTTTTCTCTCCCCCAGTCCATGTGGGGTTGGGTTGTAAGAGGCCTACATTGCTACTGTACTTTGCTTCTCATCTGTTTTGATGAATTCATGCTTTAATTGTATGCTAAGCTGCATATTTCCTGTGTTTGAGCAGCAAACCTTGCAATAAGGAAGCTAAATGGCTATAAGCATTCTTTTTTGTATTTTGCTGGGATTAGCACTTGGCTTAACTCATTGCTTGTTTCCATAGTGACTCTGTAGTAACTGTTTTAAGAGCGCTGAAGTTTATTCAGGCGTTTCCAGGCTGACTTTTTATGAAAGTTTTCTTTTCTTCTGAGCAAATGGTGTGGCTGTCATTGACTCCGATTAGAATGGCTGCCAAATTGGTCCCATGCAGTACAATCCGGACTGGTGTGGTGCAAAGCTATGCCAGCTGCACATTTTTAACATGCCCTAGGGGAGGATTGAGTGGCCTCTTGTTCTTCATGGGGCTGTGCTGAAACTTTTTGTTTTTAAACAACATCAACAACATTGTTCACTTGATCTGGGAATCGCATTTGCAAAACTGTTTATTTCAGGTGTTTAGATTTCTAGATTAATTTCAGGCATCCAAGTTACAGATGTTTGGAAGTTTATTGATTTCAGATTTTTTTGTGTGTGTATTTATTTGTTATGCTTGAAATGTTAAATGCTGATTGTAACAGCACTACTCGGTAAAAGCCTTCTTTCTCTTAAGCCAGTGTGCTCTTTCCTGTCTGTGCTGTCTCTAGCTCTTCTAAATAGTGTCTATCCTTGGAGTGGATTTTCCAGTCAGTCCCCTCAGGTGTTCTGCCTTGTTTTACAGCCTGATGTTGCCCTAGGAGAGGCATATGCAGGACGAATGCGGGGACACCTTTCTGTTCGGGGGTTTGAAAATTGTGGGAGTATGATGGGGAACGAAACTGCTGCTACTGGGAGGGGAAATGTGTTCTAAGGGTTAGTCTTGGGAGCATAAGCTATAACGAAGACATCTTTCTCCTGATGACTCACCTGTAGCCTTGTCCACTGTCTCTTTCTTAACCTGGGTGCCAGAGTCAGCAACCAGCATTGCTACTGCCTCCGATACCTCACCAAACATAGATGCGTTTCTCCAGAATAAAATGCTTATTAATACGATAGCTCTTTCTGGAGGTAACTGGTGTGTGTTTAGTTGATGTACTCAGACATTTATCTGAATTTCACCATTGTAGCTGTGAGCTCCTTTTCTCTGCAGGCCTTTGACTGCAAGGCTATGGGAGGCAAGTGGGCTACATGAGCACCAGCCTCTTCAGGATTCTCTGTTGTGCCTTGAGACAGGATTTGGAGGGAGAACTGCAGGAGAAGAAAGTAGGGAGAGGGATATTACAACTTTGAAGTCTTGTTGGCCCTTGGCAAGGGGGGAGGGAGGATTTGTGACTAACTTGCATTGGATGCAGCTCTGACAAGGGGAAAGACCAACATTGCCTCACGCCTCCAAACTGGAGGCAGTTGGTGCTGATCTGTTCACTTGGTCCTGCATTGTTTCCCCTGTACTGGCCAGAGTTACGTACAAAATGGCTGGAACATATTTGGGACTGGGCCCTTAGTGCATTGAATTGCTGTCTGCATGGAAATGAGATAATGTCTTTTCTTTCCTTACACAACAGCCTGCCTGAAGCTAGGATGCACCAGGGATGAGTGAACAAGTTACACAGTGATTCTGACATGTCAGATATTTAACAGAGCTTGCTGCCAGTTTAGTAACGTTTAGATCTTTGAGACCCTTTTCCAGTTGCATCCATTAGAGAAAGAAAGAAAAAGAGAGAATGAAAAATAGATCTACTGTATTACAGACACAATGAGCTCTGGATCAAAGTGGGATGGAGCTTGAAAGGTGATGTGTTCAATTTTGCTGGCCAGAGGGGTTGTGACTCGGATGGCATGGGTAAACAATGAGGAAAGAGAACAGTCCCTCTGGGAGTCAGTGTCTGACTTAATGAGCCAGCAGTTATTAAAAGATGAATACAGGAGAAGTGAACCGTGCTTTCTGGCTGGTAGCGTGGCTTTTTTTCTTCTTTCTTTTCTCCCTTTCTCTTGAAGATCAAAGGCCTAATTTTAGAACAAGCCCTATTTATGGACTGTTCAGCCACTCTATCTGCCTTACTCTTGTTCTAAAATAGTGGAAAATAAATAGAGCTGACGGGATCTCCTGGTGTCCAGAGCTCATCCCTGATGCAAGGCAGGAGGGAAAAAAAACTCCCCAAAACAAAACCCTCAACCTTTCCTAGCAGAGGTTCTGTGTAATTTGCCTCTGCGGAGGCAGTTCCCTTGCCCTCCCTCAGCTCCTTTAATCTTTCCTCGTGATTGGAGGCTGAATAAATGTAACCTGTGACTGCCCCCACGATGTTCAGCAGAGCTGTCTCCTGATCCACTGCGTGCTGTAGCTGCCAGGACTGGGCAGAGTCCTCTTCCTGAGACTGGTGCCGATACGGAGTTAAGTGTTGTTTTGTGTGTCTGTGGATTATACTCCTGTTCATGCAGCCCAGCATGAGGATCAATCATACGTTTTTTACAATATCATGAGATTGGTTCCACTTTAGGCTATGACTTGGCATAGCCTGAGATCCTTGTCTGCTGCCTGGCCGCTTCTGCCTCACTCTCAATCTGTGTAGGTGATTTCCTACTTTTGCTCAGTATTTTTTTATGTTTCCTGCCATTACTTGGCATCCCCCCTGCTTTCCATCTCTCTATTCTTCCCCTGCCCTGAGACTGTTTTTCTAATTTATCAAAGTAATTTTTAATTGTAATCTTGTTCTGCAAAGTTTTGGGTGGCAATTGTCTGCCAGTGCAGTAAGTGTGCTCAGTTCCGGCTGAAATACTGACCAGTAACTGGAGGGAGACACACCGAGTGTAGGTGCAGGTTGAGAGTGAACCTCTAGTTACCCCATGAGAATGACTTTTTTTTTTCCCCCTCTTCTCTTTTTTTGTTTCTCTCCTTTCTGTCAACATTTCACCCAGTTTCCTTTGGACGACGCTTCCGTCGTCCCTATCACTTGATACAATGACAAAATCCTGGAAACGCTTCTGTATTCAGAATGAATTTTTGAGAGATATAGTTAAAGGCTGTGTCAAATTCAGCTTTGATGGTGTAAGGAAGCTGCTCTTGCTGTAGGCACTCTGCTGCCAGTTAAAGACATTTATCAGGTGAGGCAGTCTGATACC